CGCGAAGGCTGGACTCGAACCGCCGAAGCGTCAGCCATTTCTGGCCGGCAACTTTCAGCGTTATTAAGCCGCTGCGCCACCGCGTCCCCCGTTTTCAATATAAGTTCCTTGAAAATGGGTCTATAGAAGATAAGAGCCTTACAGAATAATTCTAAGAAGGTTTCTACAGAAATAAATGCCTGTATGTTCCATGGGGTTTCCTCACTTGTAAGATGGCAATTTCAACATCCTTATTAGGGAGAAAGACTTATTGAATGCAATGTAATTTATTTCTTAATGCATCTGTTTAGAATTACACAATACTTATTCAATTTTTAGGTTGCTGAACTTCAAGATGTCTTCAAGACTGACAATGAGGAAAGATGAAGCAATGATCCCCATGGATCTCATCTCAATGTACACAATTTTAGTTATCTCCTTTGTAAGAAAAATGACCAAAAAAAAAAAAAATTGATATTTGACTATCATTTAGGGACTCTGCAGAAGCTGCTATGAAATAGAGGCTTAAACTATTGAAAAATTGCTATGTATAACTCCATGACAGCAGGTTTCTTCCAAATCTCCTTCAATTCACGAAGCAAAACAGATGACAACATTGGCTCAGCTTGTTTGGATATCATATCAAAACAATGTCTCTTTTATTGCTGCCTGTTACCCCAGGCAACTTGGTCACATTGCAAAAAATAAGAGGACTTTCTATTGGGCAGGAGCCAATAAAGAGAAGTAAACAACCACATCCATTCCTAAACTCATCAAAATTGATAAACAGCTGTTAAAAATGCCTGATTTCACTTACATTCTAAGCCAGTCAATCAGAGATTTCCTTCAGGTGTTCTTGGTAACACCAGATACTAATAGTAAGTCACAATTTCCCTTTGAAAGAGAGGTGACAAAGCCCAAAGGCACTGACTTCTGTTGAAAGGTACAACTGCCTCAACTGCTAAATGTCTTTATGGCTGCAAGCACAGGTCCGCTCATCATCTAACTGGACAATCCAGAAATGGTTACTTCTGGGAAACAGTTCCTCTAGATATGTACAAACAAATACTCCCCATATAATACTTGTGTGTCACTAAATGAAACATGGAACAACAGAAAGAGTGCAAAAATGAAATTGTAGAAAGTTATCATCCATTAATATCCACATTTTATTGCCCTTCCCAAACAAGGTTCCCACACTCTAAATAAATTAAATGTCTGGAGAGCATCAGGTTGGGAAAGGCTGTGCTAACATTTGTATTTCAGGAAGTCCAATTGCTATTCATAAAACATAGTTTCTATTGTGGTTAGTTTGTATGGCTCCCTCAAATTTTTTTTCTGGCAAAGACAATGAAATCCAGCAAATAAGTCTTTTAAAAAAGGAACAGAATAAGCAAGAGACCAAGAAGTACTCACCGTTTCATCAGTGCAGATGGAATGTACCTGCGTTCCAAACATTACAGATGTGAAAATGAGAAAAAGGAGAGCCTCGAAACACAAGAGGATCAGAAGGATCACAGTAGTTGGTGGAGAGAAAGAACTGCACTCTGAAAACATAATATGAAACAGCATTTCATATTCTAGCAACAGAACCAGTAAGTGTGTTGCTTCTGTACACTACTTAGGGTTGCCTTCACTGAGTAGTTTCTAAATTTATTCATAAATAAATAAATGAGACCTAGCTATTCAGAATTACTTAGACAACACCAAAGTCTAACATCTGGAAAATGAGTTATAGAGTTCTGAAAGCCACAGGTCATATAATGCAGGTGTTAAAATGGTAGCAGGAATAGATATGAAAAATATAATACTAATAATAAAGATTGTCAAAATCGTAGCTTTCATTTAAAAAAACAAGTTTTCTCAGACCTCTTTTTTGACTAACACACCATGAAAATGAATTCTCAGTGAAATTTCAAAAGCAGAATTTGTGGGGAGTGAAACAAATTAATAAACAAAAGGTAGGAGCAAGATTTGAGGGTATACTGTTTTGTGTAAAGTAAAATATATATACTTTCTATACTTCCATTCTTGTATAAATTAAATTTTCTGTAGAATTTGGGTTAAGTAGGAATATTTCTGGGAAATACCCATAACTACATTTCCTAGCTTAAAGTTTTTGCTGCTGGTATTGCTCACTGAATCAGGATTTAAATGAGATAATAGTGTGGTATGAGAAAGCCAGTTTGGTGTAGTAAAGGCTCTAGGCTAGAAACCAGGAGACCGTGAGTTCTAGTTCCGCCTTGGGCATGAAGTCAGCTGGGTGATCTTGGGCCAGTCACTCTCTCTCAGCCCTAGGAAGCAGGTAGTGGCAAACCACTTCTGAAATCTTACCAAGAAAACCGCAGGGATTTGTCCAGGAAGTCACCAGACACTGACTCAAAGGTACCAAAAAAAAAAAAGTGTGGTATAATGTTTAGAGTTCTGGACAGGAAGGCCCAGGATAGAGTAACCCCACTCTGCCATGGAGCTCACTGGGTGACTTTGAGACAAGCACCACCTCTCTGCCCAAGCTACCTCACAGGTTGTGAGGTTAAAAATGAGGGATGACCCCAGGTATCCCAATCTGATCTCCTTATTGCTAAAACAACATATAAATGTAAACTACCACAAATAAATAATACAAAAAGCTTCTTTTTTTTTTTTTGGCTGCCATAGCAGGAACACACTAGCTTTCCTGGGGAAAGCTGTTTCAAGGACCAACTGAATTAAGAAGCAATTATTACTATACAGGTAGTCCTTGGGTTACAATGGCAATTGGGACTGGGAACTCCGTCACTAAGCACCACAGTCATAAAGTGCAATGTCACATGACTGCACTGCTTAGCAACGACAATTCCAGAGTCCCAGTTGCCATTGTTAAAGAAGGACCACGCGGGTTAAGCGAGGACCACATGTGATCATGACTTCTGACTTCCTGCTGGCTTCCCATTGACATTGCTTGTGGGAAGCCAACAGGGAACATTGGAAATTGTGATCATGTGACTGCAGGGACACTGCGATGGCCATAACTTTGAGGACCCATCATAAGCCCCCTCATTCAGCATCATTGTAACTCTGAACGGTCACTAAACAAATGTTCGTAACCCGAGGACCACCTGTAATAATTATAAGCTATGCTGTAACTGGAGGCAGTTTTCCTTCCCAACTCCTTTGCCTAGATCCAACCTGATCTTGGTCTTTTGTGCATTTTCTCTTATAAAAATCATTATTAGGTGTTCTTTTTTCCAATATAGTTTATGCAGAATGTTCATGCCCTCATTTAAAGGTGAATATTGTTTTTATCCATACATGTATTGACATTTTTATTTATTAATTTTTATTTCCATAGGATTTGGACATTTTCAACTATTACAAAATACATATACACATCCTATTTCACAATAGCCATAAGACATAATTCTTCAAGGCCCATTGTTTAGAAAGAGGGTGGGCAGAATCATATGCTGTCAGTAAATTGCAGGCCCCCATATTTCTTTTGAGGATGTGCTGGGTCTACACCTTCCATTTCACCTTTGCACAGAAAAAACATGGTTTCTCTCCTGGTTTTGTTTCAGTATCACTGTTCATTTCTATTCCTGCACACTCTCTGCCTCCCCAACCCTCTCTCCTGCAACAGGGGTCAAAAGTGGTCCCTGTAGGCACCCAAGGTAAAGATACAACAGGGGCATTGAAGGTATTATGTGCCTACTTTTTCTAAGGAAAGGTCAGGGAGAATTACTAACGGAGGCCATTTCTTGAGTTCTCAAGCTACACATGACGTTTTAGGTTTCTGTTTCTTTGCTTGAGGACAGAAAGACCACAGTATGATGCATCCGTTCAGCCTCAGTCAAATAATCTCACAGCTTATTTTTTTTAGAGGAGATCAGCACTTTTTTCCTCAGCTGGGGGAGTGGGTGGAGGAGAGGGAGCTAAAGGAATGTGGAGAATTCTTACTTTGGAAGACAGTGTTATAAAATTAAGGACAAAAATATCCGTGGGAAACATGCAATCACCCATCTAATTCTCTTTTGTGGGGGCTATGCAACTAGGATGGTTTACTTTAAAAATATTACATTTGTCAATACTCACTTGTCCAGTCTTCTTCCAAACAATACAGGAAGTGAAATCCAACCATGATCAGCGCATGCAGAGAAATTAGTGCTATATACATCTGAAATAGAATATGGAATGTTAAGAAGGACAGGTTTGAACATTGCATATGCATGTGTAAAATGTTTTTATATGCATAAAATATAGCATGGACAATTTCTAATGGTACACATTAAGAATAATGGTTTCATAAATCTTTGCCCCAGAAATTTTTCAACAACTTGGTCCCTAAATCTACTGCAAATCAACTGATAACAAGCTTATATCTTTTGAACTATATATATTTGAGGCACAAGATATATGTACAGGTGCAGCCCTTCCGTGCACTTTGTAACTGATTTTTTTTAAAAAGAAAAATGTACTTATAGAAACTGTTAAGCAGGCATACAAAAGTCAGGCTATGTATGCAGTTCTTTGTTCATAAAATGATTTTAGAGATGTTTTCAGTATCTGGTATGTTTTTCCTAGTGTAAGTCAGCTTATGATCCAGAAGTGCAGTCAAAAAAATACTCTCTCATAGGGTTTTTCTGTTTGTTTATAGGGGTCAGTTCTGCTGAATAAAGTGGAACTCAGTTCTGAGCAAACATGCCTAAAATTATTAAGCATGGCCTCCCACTGCAACATCTCCAGGATATGCTGCCCTCTATGACAGATTAATAAGAACGTCTCTGCTTGGAGTTGAAACAAAGTTGAGCTGTTAATCAACTAAACACATCTCTCTAAGAAAAGAAGAAGTTGTTAATCAAAGAGAAAAGCCAGTATTACGACCAATGCTTCCACTCAAGATTATCTTGTATTACTGTAATAACTTCCTTGTGCAGGTACTGACGTGCTCTTATGTGTGCAGAATTACATTAGTAAAAACATAATATACCCCCAACTGCTTTGCCAGTTTTTAAGTGGAGCGGAAATACAAGATAGTTTTTGGAAGAGATAAATAACATTGTCCCATGATTAAAGATTCTCTTATCTTTAAACTCATCTCCTAAATTACTTTAATAAGAAAACAAAAAAGGTTAGGCATAAACAAGGGGAAAATACCTGGGATAAAGAAACTGGATGGCCATTTACCTCTACCAATACTGAATTACAGTACATGGTGAGAGTGTAAGGAGATTATTCTTTTATGAAGCTTATTATATGCCATGGGATAAAAAGCAAGTTTGTCATCCAAGTTCCCTCCTCAAATGTAATTATTATTTATACTGTTTGCAAATGATTGTAATCTAACCACATATTTAGAACTGAAGAGTAATATAAGCAGTCTAGGCTGATCTTTCCTGTGGAAGAAGTAAGACCATCAGCCAGACTTTTCTAAAGGAAAATCAGTACAAAGCCTTGAACCCTGAAAGGCTTACAAGCAATTTAAGTGCCTGGTAAGAAGTATGCCCAATATACACAAACTCAAGTTATTCAAGAGCCAGTTTTACAGTTGGGAAGCAAAACAAAACATTGTCCACTATCTGATGCGTACTTGTCTCTCAATATTTTATCTCTTTAAAAAAAAAAAAAGCCCTCATAGTAAGTAGCATTCTCATGGTTTTAATCTGTATCATCATTTACCCTCATTTATTAAGCAGGGAACCAGGCTACTTTGGTGGAATGAAATAGCTATTAGAACTTATAATTTAAAGTGTAGTGATACACTTTGATAAGACACACTTTGCTAGCTCGACTGTATTTTTTAATTTGCTTCAAATATCCTGCAGCTTCAAAAAGGAGCTACTTTTCTCAGCAGTATCCCCTTGTAATTATTTAAGGAGGAAGTCTCAAAAATTGAGCAAGATCTACTTGAAATTTCAGGGCCAATTTCAATAGTTATACAGATCACTCACTCAGTGAATTACTTACTGTAAACAGTACAAAGTATTTCTGGTTATTCTCTCCTACACAGTTATTAACCCATGGGCAGTGGTGATCCATTTTCCTTATACATCTCTTACAAACACTAAAAGGAAACAAAAAACAGAAATACCCCAAATTGAAATGCAATCCCATCTCATTGAGAAACTGGTCTTTTACAGATATCAAACTATGGGATAAATATTTTCCCTTTGTCAAAAGCTACACTGACTTCTAAGTTACTTAAATTGAGACTCACATCATTATTCAAAGTAGAAGAAATAAATGTTGGATTTGAAGCATTATGAATAAGTGGCAAAAACTCTACTGCAAATCTCTAATTGGCTTAGATGCTCCAGTTTTTATTTCAGTTGTAGTTATTAAATGTAACTTAAATGCTAAGAATTTTATTTTCTTTTGAGAATTTACAGCACATTTTAAGTGCAATTCACAATAAACTTCATGCCACCAATTAGCAGATTAATTTTTTCTGACTGACTACATGTATTCAGCTTAGTATCTTGTGTCCTGTTGCCTCTCATATTCCCCCTTTTAGTTATTTAAAGACATCACTAAAAGAAAGGAATGGAATAATGGTGCTATGGGACACATTTTAACTCTATTACTGCTTCTCTATCTATGTATCACTCAGGATCAAAAACTCTATGTTCCCACCTTTCCTTTCATACTATAAACACCTATCAGAGCAATGGGGAGGGGGGTGTTCCACAAGCATCTGCATGTTCCTTTTACTTTGGGGCTCATTCCCCCTCATCACACAGACCTCTTTGTATAACTTCTGAGAACAGATGCTTTGTGATTTGACACTGATATGGTATATACAGCTCTCTTCCAAGATCAGGTGCAGGTGGGAAATAATTTACAATTGCATAAAGCCTGGCCAGTCACCACTGTACAATTCTGGCTTCTGCTCAGAAAAAATATTTTTCGAACCAAGATAACATTGTGTATGGCAAATATAGTGGACTCACTACTGAAATAATCTATAGATTATTTTACAACCTTTATGTATAACCCATGCTGTCTTCTTGACTTGAGTGTGTGTAAAGATGGAGATAGATAAAGCACAAGAATAAAAGCAGGGGGATGGATGGATGGATGCTATAGAGGACACATTTCCACCAATGCGCTCATGTGGCACCCATAATAGCCACCTGATTGGACCAGTCTGCACAACACAGACAGAACTATGGAAAAAGGTCTTCCCTTGCAGATGTCCATGCCTGTTCGTGGTTGTCCTGGTATCAGATGGCTTTGGGGACTTGGTTGGAGGCCTAGGCCCGCAGCTGTCTTCAGAGGAAGGGGCTAGATATAAAATACATACATACAGCAGGACAGTGATTTTCTGGCTATGTGGATCTGCCAGTGAAAAACAATTACAAACTACCACATAATTCAGTGTGAACAAATTAACATATTACAGGTCAGCAGGTGCACAAACCTGCTTTTTCAAGCGAACGGCTTGAAGAGGTTACAAAATACTGAATTGTAATGAGTTTTGCAATACAATTAAATTAAAATGAATTAAAATGTAGAAATATGCTGAAATCATATTAACAGATGCTAAATGAAAGAAAGATTCAGCATGCTAGGTTACTGCTGATGCCTCTATCAAATTAGAACAGTAACATAAATAAGTCATGATGATGATATATTATTACCTGCAGTGATGCGCTCTGTCCGGTTTGATGCTACAGCATTTTGGACATTTATAAACCACTTGTCCTGGCTTCAGCTGTAAGCTCTCTATGAATTCTTTTGTGGCATTACCTTTGGGCACTGCGCCCTGAAAGTGAAAATAAAATAAATAAATAAATAAAATAAATGATAAATAAATAATAAAAGTGAAAACGACTTCCAGAGCACTTTGGATCACCATCAGAAAACTCAGGGGGCCCTATTACAGACACAGATCCATTTAGGAGACCTTGGTGACAATGCATGCATTACGAATGTATAGCCCTTTGAATCTGAAGCTGAAATATGCTTCAGAATTGCCATCGCTAAGCAATGTCGTCATGTGACATCATGCTTTACAAATGTGTCCTTTAGCAGTGGCAATTCTAGTCCCAACTGTCGTCGTAACCCAAGGACTAGCTGTATGCCCACACCATTCCATGCCTGGAACACATGCCTGAACTAATTGTTTAATCTGGATATACAACTATGAGACAGGTCTGTTTTGTTCCAGATGTGGACCACAATAGTTATTTTGGGCAGAAGAATCTGGAGAAGGAAAAGTAGGAAAAAAATTGGCTGAAGCTTTCCTTGACAACACAGGAGTGGCTGAGGGAAGGCCCTCAAAGATTAGGGGACAGGTGGGCATACTGCAAGGGGAGCTGCTGAGACTATTGAGAAACAGGTACACAAGCTACGTGGAACAGTTAATGGCAGTCCCAGGTATCCCTTTTTTTCCGTAGAAGGGAAAGGGGGGTATCAGTTTTGTCTAATGGGAACAGCAATATCACTCTGGTATCAGCTGCAGGTTCTGTTTGCATGACATTCAGAACAAAAATGTTCCTGGGAACTGCAGCCAATCTGGAATGGTTCAGCAGAACTGTTGGTTTTTGGTTCAAAAAGCAAGGTACATTCCTCATTTTGTGCATACATCTAAAATGAACCAACCAAGTTTTATGAAATAAAAAGAGAAAGCGATATACTTTTTTAAAGAATGCAAAAGCTGAGTGTATTTACAGAATGCCATACTACCTGAAGCACAACAGCAAGCCATGCCCCATGAGGAAAAGGGAAAGCAGAGGTTTCATTACCATTCACTTCACATATGGAAGATATGACAAGAAAGTAGAAATGTATATGATAGGGTTATAAGCTAAAGTTAAACACTATGAAGAGCTTTCTTGTTCTAAAAGCCTATGTGCAAACAAAATCAACAATCTTAAGTAAAGCATGATGTTTTCTATCTTGGTAATATGGGAACACAATAAGAAGCTTATAATATACAAAAATGTTTTAAAAGTGCCATTTATGATTGCATAACTTCCAATAAACAATGGTAGTCCAGAAGCTGTCCTCATACTAACACATAAGAGGTTAAGGGTGAGTGTACAGTCCTCATGAGCTCAAGCAAATACCTACAATGGCTAAAATATTTAGCTAATGAAGCATAGCACCAGAAAACAACTTCCCACACACTTATGGATGTGCCTGTCATATTTAAATAAAGGAAGATCACCATCAGGAAACTGACAACTGCTACAAGAAACCAAAATATGCGTACTTTCAAGCAATTTTTTCCACAAATATTTTTAGTTAGAGAATTCAACCAAGCAAAAGGCAAATTGGAACTAGAGGCCCAGTTTCTGTTCTAACTCAGCACTAGTGAGGTGAACTCAATCACCTGGCTGCAGCTCCAGATTCACCCAATTAACTCATGCTCTACAGATTTTTCCAATGAACTTTTAGTGGTTCCAGCTAGCATGTAGAAACTACAGCAAACACATCTGGAGAACACTAGGTACCTACCCCCTTTCTAGGACCTGTGGAAAATCTAACCATGCCAAATATAATTTTTGTAATAGTTCCAACCTCAGTAAAAGCTGTTTGAGAGTTATGAAGCTATATTCAAGTAGTACATTAAAGGCCAATTGAGATACTTCATTTTCTTCCACAAAGAGCTACTTCATTTGTTACTTACTGTAACAAATTCCATTTTAGTTGCATTTGCCTAAGTATGGCAACACATCTTCCAGCGTCCATATTCATGTCACTTTAATTTGGCTGTAACTAATCTCAATATACTTTTTGTGAAAGCTTAAACACACACACACAATTACAGAAGAGATTGCATTACCTAAGAACAACTTAAGTCTTTGTTATAAGAGAATAGATGGGATGTTTAACAGCACTGGTGAAAGGAAAAACCTCATGCACTTGTATGTCTTTTTGTGTTCAACTAAAGTCAGGGACGTACAGCATTTTGGAGTAGAAAGGAAAAAGATGCTTCCATCCACCTATAGGCATGCAAATACAGGTAGTTCCCTTTCAGCAATCGTTCAAAGTTACAATGGCACTGAACAAGTGGGACTTATGACCGGTCCTTGTAGTTGTGGTTGTTACAGCATTTCCAGTCATGTGACTGCACTTGGAGTGGTTGGCAACTGGCGCTCAATTACGACAGTCACAGCATCCTGTGTTACACAACTGCCATTTGCAACCTTCACTGTTGGCTTCCAACAAGCAAAGTCAATGCAGAAGCCAGCAGGAGGTCACAAATGGCAATCATGGGACTGCATGACACTGTGACCACACCTAACAATGGCAACTAGAACTGCCACAACTGCCATCATAAGTTGGCACAGTCACATGACATCATACTTTATGACCACATTGCTTAGCGACAGAGTTGCCAGTCCCAATTACCATCATTTATCAAGGACTACCTTTAGCACCTCCTGACAACTCCTTAAACCAACGTGTCTTTTCCTGGGATCACAAAGCAGCTGCAGAGGCAGGCATATAAATCCTGTGAAAAGACACAGCTGCTTTAAGAAACTGCCAATAGGTGATATGGGAGCACTCCAAAGCACTTTTCTTCTTTGAATCTACAGTTATAAAGCAAAATGCCTAGAAAGGTTAAAGAGAGGGAAATATTCCCACAGGATTTATTCATCTTCAATTTCATCTCTATTACAAACTAGGATGCTCAAACCCTCAAATAATATAATTCAAGGAATAATGCAATCAGCTGTAAACTTGAAATTGAAAACTGATTTAAAAAGCAGATTCTTTCTGTTTTTAACAATGTTCACATCCATACCCTCTAAAGAGCTTAATGCCCGATATATATTTACATGCAGTTAATGATTTAAAATGCATCTGGATAAACTTTCCCATCATCTGGTATGTGTATTTTGATTCCCATCATCCCCAGCCAATAGAGTGATTTTTCTCTGCTAGCAGGGACTGATGCAAATTGTTGTTTGGGGGGTAACTATACCTCTATAATTATTATTCTGTACTTAAGACGAAAAGGCAATATTTTTATTCAAAATACAATGTAGTTCTCTAAAGGGAAAAGCACATAAAACAGGTTTTTCCAGCTTTTTATGCCACGGCATGCTGTCAACATTACATGTATTAGAGCAGATAAGAAAAAAAGATAGACTTCCACCCCTTCACCTCTGTAATTTCCCTTTTTTCTTAAGCAAAGGTTTCTGTGTTGTTCAAGGACCCTAATAGAATTTCTTATGTGAATAATGCCCTTTGTTTCAATGGAGGCACATTTTTAAGAAATGATGCCATTTGACCAAGAGTTTATATTCTATACATGTTCTAGAATTTTTTTGATCCCAAAGTCTCACTACAAAGCAAACAAAAGAAAAGGCAGCTAGGTCATGTATTCAAAACTTCATGGAGCTGGAAAGGCTATTTAGGTTACCGAATCAAAGTCTCAAATACCTGGAGGAATTCAAATTAAAGCATTCCTGACAGATGGTTACCCAGCCCCTTCTTAAATATATTCACAGGAAGAAAGTCATTTCATTAAGTAATTGTTTCTGCTGCCAAACTGCTTTTATAGTTTTTTTAACATTCAATTTAAATCTCCCTTCCTATAACAAAAGTGTAATCTCATTGCCTGCAGCACGGGATGAAGACAACTACACTCTTTTTCTGTTTAAATTTCCTTTAGGAATTTAAATCGCATTATCATATCCCTTCTTAAGGTTTCTCTTCTTTTCTAAGCATTCCTACATCCCTTCATCCCCTGTCATAAGACTTAAATCTGCAGTTCTCATGATCATCCTCGCTGCACTTTTCTGAGCCTCTTTCAGTTAGTTTGAACCCTTCTTAAAGTAATACACTTACTGGATCTGTTAACATTGCTCTCAAATGTGAAGCCAGAGCCAGGAATGCCAAAGTATTGAAAACTATTCCATTGATCACACTGTAAATATAGTCTCTTGATGGAAGCAGCATTACAAGGATGACTACAAAGTCAGCATAGAAGACCAGGAACCAGGTGATAACTGCACAGGCAATACCACAACCATCTCGAATAAACCACATTGTTCCTGAGGAACTGTGGCTGGGAGGTGGGACACACTTGTCCGGTTGAAGATATTCTGGTTTCCTCTCAATATCTCTGAAGCGGTGGACTGGAGTAATCATCATAGATTATAATGTCCATTCTTGGATCTGGAAAAGAGAAAAAAAGTTCTCCACTTTACAACCTAATAAAGGAACTTTCTATTTCAGACGAAACTTACTGAAGCAATTAAAGAAATAGAGCAGATGATGATGATTTTAAAGAAGAATAAAATATTATCACTCCCCACCTAAAACATGTCTTGGCTTGTATTTAGCTTTTTATCTATATAGATAAGCACTGAAGTTTCTTAATGAAACCTGAATTTCACCAGGAATGATACAGGCACATGATACTGTCCTAGCATGTATGCTAGGAAGATTTGTAATGAATGATTACAGAATGATTCAGTTTCTGGAGGCTGACAATATCAAAATTTGACAGCATAGGTATAATTTAGGTGTATACTTATTAGCCTAAAAATACAAATGCATTCCATTATGAAAGTACAGTAAGCAATTTTCCTCAAAGTATCAGCTTCAGCGAAGCATGTTTAAAAATATAGGCAGGTATCTTTAACATAAAGAAAAATCCCATAATAATGGCATTATGCCACTGCAAACTCATGAGTGTCTAGCAACCTAATGAGCTTAGCCTTGATAGATGTTGTACACTGATGCCCCAAAAGCACAACTTAAAGGAGATTTAAAGCTGGAATTTGTTATTAATTTTGTTGTTTATTTTCAACAAAGCATAACTACAGATCTATTACATTTTTACTTATCTCTGCACTTGAATTATGAAATACTTTTTGTACTGTGTTGGTATAATACTAAACTTAATAATCAAGAGAATAAGTAACGGTATTCTTTGGTAATTTATGTCATTAACTAAACATACTTTGTGAAAGTACCTTTCCTGGAATTAAACTTTCATTAGAAGATTTAGAAAATGAGTACTGTATGTATCTAATCAAACCAACATTCAATTTCCTTCTAAGGAAAAGCAAAAAAAAAAAAAAAAGTTTTTCTTAACCCTCACATAGGCTGTTGGACACTTTTTGCTGCTGAAAAATATTTTTGCTTCCAGCTGTTGGTGGCGTGATCCATGTATGCAATGAGGGCTGCATATATCCATGGGTTTCTTAATCCAGCCTATAACATCTCATCTACAGGTCTAAACCTCAAGAAATCCTGATTATTTCAATGAAATCATTGGTTTGTCTCTTTTGGCCCCAAAATTCTTGATGATGGACAGAGCCAGAAGTTTAACTAACTGAAGAGCATTTTCAGTGTCAAGAAATAGAACCGGTTGTTCAAAAACTTGTTTGACCAGATACAAAAGTTTAACAACAAAAGTGATAGGTGTATATTAAGGGGAACTGGAGCAAAGTTAACTCTTAAAAACTAGCAGTTGCTTTTAATTTCATACTGCCAGGTTTCCTAGCCTTCCCTAGAATTTAATTATAGGTAATTAACCATCTTACATTATATTTTTTTAATGCAAGGATAATCTACTGGTAGCACTTGTTTGATGCCAATTCCTAATAAAAAACAATATTCATTTTGCAGCCTGGAATACATCACAGCTCAACCCTAGTTCTCCAACTAAGAAACTGAAACATCCACTGTCCAACATTTACATAACTGTTCTTGCAATGAACAAAATATTGAGGCTCCTCAACTTAAGTCTAAAGGATGGTGGAGTCTATAATCAAATAATACTTTACTGAAGAGCAAGCCTTATTTTAATGAACTCAATAAATTAACAGAAGCAAGAGAGCCAAAGTAGTACTTTGATCTTTGGAAGAGATCTGGAATAGTTCCACTGAATGTTGCTTCTAGGACTAGGCTGACTATGATCACTTCACTAATATTTCAAATCTAAATAATCACTAAATCCAAGGTATCTACTAACAGTAACCGAAAGTGGCTTAAAGATAACTTCAACAAATATTCATTTTTAATAACAGGGTTTTTTTTCAGTCTGATAACCATGATGGTACTCTTGAGAACACCTCATGACAATTACAGCCTTTCCCAACATGAAGCTCTTTAAGGGTAGGTCTACCAGGTAAGTCATCTGTGGCCAACATGACCTTATTGCCCAAAAACAGAACAGTGGTCTCATACATCTGGAAGACACCAGGTTGTGGAAAGCTGATATAGTTCTTAATCCATGTTAAACCAATTAATAGATCAACAGCTAGCCATATCTAATTCCAAATCAAGTAGATGATTATACCAACATCTGGTATAGTAAATATTTTAACAGTGAACTACACCTACAGGCTCTAAGATAAGCCTCATGTACTACTTCCATATTAAAAAGTAGAGTTCCTTGAACCTGGCAAATAATGTTGGGTGGTTCAAAAGTAACATGCAATGTTTTATCTTTCAGTTGTCTGATGAGCATCCATCCTGTTGGGGATTAGGAGACAGTTTTAAATTCTAATTTTTAATGTGAAGAAATGCCTACATGTGCTTCACTCAGGAGAAGGATGGTTATCAAATAACTGGGATAGGACATCTTCAAGAATCTCTAGCTGCAGTCCTAAAAACCACCAGGATGATAAACACAGTGAAAGATATTTATTTTCCTGCAGATATTTTCTATTTAACAGTGTATACATACATGCATGCATAGAAATAAAGTCAGCTTCAAGTTCTTGAAAGAAGATGCCACTCAGTTCAAATCTTGTTTTATCAGTTTCTTCTCAATATATTTATAAACTAATCAGAGTCAGACCATTTGGGGTATTTCCACTGTTTTGGACCAGAGCTACAACTGGTCCTATCAACTGCAGCCAGCATGGCTAATAAGAGATTTTATAATCTTAAACATCTAGACCATATCCTGGATTATACCTCTGTAAGAATCCAAAGCTGATGATTGAATACAATGCTGCTCAATTTTCTTTTTCTTTTGTTTTTGGTCAAAAGAATTCAATACAGTGAAAATTCAACAGGTATCCCCATCACAATAACAACTGTTAAGTGTCCTAATACCAAGAGGAGCTCCCAAAATATTTTATGCCTCCAAAATGAATTAGCTAAAAATAAGCAACATCTCTTTGATACAAAAAGGTTTCGTACTGTATTTGTATTGTTTGTACAGCATCTCCCAGGACCCTAGAAGTGTGCCTTCTCTGTAGTAGTGCCTGTCCTCTGGAACGAGGTTCCCCCCGAGATCCAGATGGCCTCCACTCTGCTGTTGGGTAGAAGAGCTGTGAAGACCCAACTTTTGACAAGGGAGAGTGAGACCCCTCACTTCATCGTGCTTGTCATCTTTTATCTTTATCTTTTATTAATTTTATTGTAATTCCTTTGTTTGATTGTTGTGAGCTGCCAAGAGTTGTTGAGAGCTCGGTGGCGTACAAGTTTAATAAATTATTATTTGCAGTTCTTGCCTTAATTGCCACACATTTCACTTTTTACCAGTATTATTCTCTCTCTCTTTACAATATTTATACTGCTTTTGTTCCTACCATTTTTATGATTTATTTTTTCAGAATGGCAGGTTGAATAATCACACTTGTTCACTATGTATTGCCACAGACTTAGTTTTCCACTGTTTTTCCATATGGCATAATTTCTAACTTAATACCATCCAACAAGGAACATGCTACACTGCCTTTAGCAAGTTAGACTGCTGGTCCATCTATACAATATTATTTTTTATGACTGGCAGTGGTTCCTAGGGTTTCAGAATCTTTCCCATCATCTGATTTTAGACCTTCAAGTGGAAACACCAAGGAATGAACTCATGATATTCTGTTATGCAAATAATGAGTTCTAAAGATTAAGAAGTAAAATTTTAACATTTATTTTTTCCAAAGTTATTACATATTTTTCATGTTTGAATCTTCCTCCAAATAACCAGGATATTTATATCTTAATTAACATAATATTTGTTCCAGGTCCTGTTTCTTGGCTACATCTTAGAAAAGACTCAGTGGTTAAACAACAGCCTGCCAAAACCCCATTTGAAGATTATCTGTGTATTACAAAATGGCCTTTCTAGTTGAAGGTTTGTTAGTGCTCTTGCTTATATTGAATTCCAGACAAATGCTATATTAAGAAACTGTTTGTGCCCATTAAAATGGAGAGCGTATCAGGGGGGGACACTATTCCAGAGAGTTGGAACACAGCAGAAAAGGCTCTCTTGCAGGTAATTGAAAAACAGCAAGCTGCAAGCTGCAGCTCAAACAACAGGACTAATTATCTTAATAATAATCCAGATCTGTAAAAGGGAAGGAGATCTGTCAGATGTCCTCATCCAAGTAGTTCAGGATTTTACATACTAAAAACAAAACTGTGAATATGGTATAATGTGTATATGGCCAAGCATCCTATGCAGCAACTTGGGTGTCACATTCTAATTGCACTAACTACAATTGCCAGATTTACGACAAGAATAGCTGTATGTAAACTGCATTACAAAGGACAAAAATATGATAAAGCAAGATACAATAGTAATATCAGTTTGTTAGAAATTGAGATAAATAACAGTATTAACAACTTGAAAGAGCCCCATTAAGCCAATACAAATAGTTTACATTTAGAGAACATCTACCATTGGGTACTTGAATAGGGGTGACTGAACAGTACAACTTATATGTTATGATTTTTAACAATGATAACAAAACTATTATATCAGAATAAAGTGTAACCTGATCCAACAACCTTTTTCCAATAGTGGTTGATCATGGGACTCCTGAAAGTCCACAGGCAGCACAGAAAGCCACCAACTTACTTTGCTATTTAATCTCTATCAACTAATTTTAGAAGCATACTACATATAGCAGCTCCACTGAACTATTATGGTGAATAGCCATTAATAAACTTGTTCTCCATGAATGTGTTTATTGAACTTGTCACAATGGTTCAAGGTTACAATGCCTTCATTGTCCATACTTGCAAAGAGGATTGCTCCTGATATGAAATACCCCTATTCATCAGTTAGCTGACTTTAACTGAGGGTTGAACAGAAATCAGAAAGGTTCATTATTTTGAGAAGCATGCATTAGCAACTCATCTATACCATCTCTGAAACGGGATTTGACATTGATGTGGTAAATTCAAGACAATGAACATCTACAATATTGGTC